ACTGATTTCGTTGCACCCGCACGACAGAGTGAAACATCGATATTGCTGTGCCTCAAAGTGTTTGTTTCTTTGTAAGCGCACTATTGTTTATAATTATTATAGAGTTTTGTAGTTTTATAACTATTATCAGGTAAGTGCATAGAGTTATATAACTATAACTATAAGCTTGGTGTTTTGGCACTGAACATGTGATTCAGTACCTATCTTAGACGTGCATCCGCATGCATAGACTGATATCCTGGTGAACGCGGCTGGATGGGTAGTGTAGTGACTGTAGTGCTTGAATCGTCTGCTGAAAAGGAATATAACATCTGGTTATTTAACAGCTTGCCATGGAAAGTCACCATTTTTAATAGGTAAACCATCTATAAATAGGCCATTTCCCATGGCCATGTTAAATAACCAGAGGGTAATTCATATAAACAGTTTTGATTGTTTTCTTTTGTATGATGCATACATACACATTTTCATGAACCTAACCATTCTTTTATAATCTAAGATCGACCACTATGGCTCCATCATATCCCATGATATTTCCATGACAACCCCATCATTATTTTAATATCTTTTAATGCCGTCTCTGTCGCCACAACGGTGTTCCAAGGACAAAGGTCTGGAGAATCTGAAGGCGGCCAAACAAGAAACAGGCGCTCGATGTCAGCCACGATGTCAGCCATGAAGGATAAAGGATGCTGAGTTGGTTTTAATATTCCCATCAGATAGGGAATATATCAAAATCATCATAAATCATAGTAAATAATCATAGACAATAAAGTCATCATAAATTATAATAAATCATCTAAGTTGGTTTATATCTAATTATATCCGTGTTTTTAGTGCAGTTTCAAAAACCCGGATTCGTTGATGATTAGTCGATTAGTCCAGGGGTTGTACTACACAATATATCGGGGATCATCATAACCCATATGCTCCATGTATGGTATATGTACCTACATTTGGGTCATTTTTGGTGGAAATGTAGGTACATATTCCATACATGGAGCATATGGGTAATGCATTATGTGAAGACTCAACAAGATGGGGAATCAGAAAACAAGACAACATGATTGCTGATTGATAATGATTTCAGCTGGATAAACCAAATGCGTTCAAGTACCTTGCCATTTTTATGGGGATATGTACTAAACCATTTTTCCCCACATTGACGTGTGGGGTTTTTGTTTTTAGTTCTGTATCCGCTCCTCGTCGTCCTCCTCCTCCTTCCCGTCCTCCCTCCTCACTCACACACACACACACTCACTCACTCACTCACTCTCACTCACTCACTCTCACTCACTCACTCACACTCACTCACTCACACACACACTCTCACTCACTCACTCACTCACTCACTCACTCACACTCACTCACTCACTCACTCACTCTCACTCACTCACTCTCTCTCTCTCTCTCTCGCTCACTCACTCACACACACAAAAACTCACTCACTCACTCACTCACTCAGTCACTCAGTCACTCACAGGCGTGGGACAATGTGAGCAGCCAAGGGGTCGGATGTACGCCCTGGCGTCCCTTGGGTCTCCGCCTCTTTTGCGTGGCAGGCGTGGGACCATGTGCACTGCCAAGGGTTCGGATGTACGCCCTGGCGTCCCTTGGGTCTCCGCCGCTTTTGCGTGGCAGGCGTGGGACAATGTGCACTGCCAAGGGGTCGGATGTACGCCCTGGCGTCCCTTGGGTCTCCGCCTCTTTTGCGTGGCAGGCGTGGCATGTGCACTGCCAAGGGGTCGGATGTACGCCCTGGCGTCCCTTGGGTCTCCGCCTCTTTTGCGTGGCAGGCGTGGGACAATGTGCACTGCCAAGGGGTCGGATGTACGCCCTGGCGTCCCTGGGTCTCCGCCTCTTTGCGTGGCAGGCGTGGGACAATGTGCACTGCCAAGGGGTCGGATGTACGCCCTGGCGTCCCTGGCGGCCCTGGGTCTCCGCCTCTTTTGCGTGGCAGGCGTGGGACAATGTGCACTGCCAAGGGGTCGGATGTACGCCCTGGCGTCCCTTGGTCTCCGCCTCTTTTGCGTGGCAGGCGTGGGACAATGTGCACCGCCAAGGGGTCGGATGTACGCCCTGGCGTCCCTTGGTCTCCGCCTCTTTTGCGTGGCAGGCGTGGGACAATGTGCACTGCCAAGGGGTCGGATGTACGCCCTGGCGTCCCTTGGTCTCCGCCTCGTTTGCGTGGCAGGCGTGGGACAATGTGCACTGCCAAGGGGTCGGATGTACGCCCTGGCGTCCCTTGGTCTCCGCCTCTTTTGCGTGGCAGGCGTGGGACAATGTGAGCAGCCAAGGGGTCGGATGTACGCCCTGGCGTCCCTTGGGTCTCCGCCTCTTTTGCGTGGCAGGCGTGGGACAATGTGCACCGCCAAGGGGGTCGGATGTACGCCCTGGCGTCCCTTGGGTCTCCGCCTCGTTTGCGTGGCAGGCGTGGGCACAACACTGCCAAGGGGTCGGATGTACGCCCTGGCGTCCCTTGGGTCTCCGCCGCTTTTGCGTGGCAGGCGTGGGACAATGTGCACTGCCAAGGGGTCGGATGTACGCCCTGGCGTCCCTTGGTCTCCGCCTCTTTTGCGTGGCAGGCGTGGCACAATGTGCACCGCCAAGGGGTCGGATGTACGCCCTGGCGTCCCTTGGTCTCCGCCTCGTTTGCGTGGCAGGCGTGGCACAATGTGCACTGCCAAGGGGTCGGATGTACGCCCTGGCGTCCCTTGGGTCTCCGCCTCTTTTGCGTGGCAGGCGTGGCACAATGTACAGTGCCAAGGGGTCGGATGTACGCCCTGGCGTCCCTTGGGTCTCCGCCGCTTTTGCGTGGCAGGCGTGGGCGTCCCTTGGGTCTCCGCCGCTTTTGCGTGGCAGGCGTGGCACATTCCCCACATTGACGTGTGGGGTTTTTGTTTTTAGTTTGTATCCGCTCCTCGTCGTCCTCCTCCTCCTGCCCGTCCTCCCTCCTCACTCACACACACACACACTCACTCACTCTCACGCACTCACTCTCACTCACTCACTCACACTCACTCACTCACACACACTCTCACTCACTCACTCACTCACTCACTC